GTAGAAAAAGTGTTCACATAAAAAAAAAATATAAATATCATTGTAAAATCAATATATCCCTCGCTCCACTCAGAATCTAAAATAAGGTTGTCATTGACAACCAATTTATTTTTTTTGTTATTTTTAAGTTTTTATTATTTTATTCTTTTTTAAACAATCATTGTTGTCATGGAAACGCACATTGTTGTAATCATTTTACCATAATATAATATATATATATATAATATTGTTGATAAAGCAACAATATCATACTGAACTCTGCTCAGAATCGTTTTTCGTTAGCAATAGTTTATCGTTGTTTACAGATATACATTCAATTCCTGTCTGTATCTTACCTTCCCAACTTCCCACCTACAACAGTAACTACACTCACGTGCGAAATATGTCCATCCTTTTTTTTTCGGTTGGAACTTTCACATCACATATTTTGCAATACAATGTTTTACCACCAGTAGAAAAAATATCTGTTTCATATTCATTGATTTGGGTATTTTACTGTACGCACTTCATTAATCGCTATACACTCGCAAAAAAGTGCTGAAAAAAATGACAATACCTATATTGCCAACGTCCACACGGGGTGGGGATCGGGGATTAAACGTCCCTCCCCCTTGGTATTTTTTTCACAGAACATATTAAATGGATTGGCCGTGTTATCGGTAAACTGGGCTATGCTTTTAACTCCTAAAGAAGTCATTGATGAGTTGGGAAGAAACCCGAGGTAATTAGATATTCTTCTATGATAAAAATAAATCTTTGTTAAACAACAGAATATTTTGATGTGCACAATGTACATATAAATTATATATAATTTTTTAATATAACCTCCCCCCCCCATTCGTTGAAATTATCTGTGTACACCATTGTGCGTAATAGTTTACACACACCTACAAAGATTGTAGATTAATATTACAGGTACTATAGATTAATCGGTTTATTCTTGTAATATTTAATTTAGATATGCTATAAATAGATAAATAATTTAACTCTGGTCGCCTTATCGTATCGCACCGTGACAAACCAAATGCTGAAATTACATGTGTTATACAGCTGGCATATTGTGTTTAAATAAATCGTATACGAAATAAAAAAAACTAAAAAAAAACAAAAAAACAAAGAACAGACTTAATTTTTATTAATTTTAAGCTATTGTTTATATAATAATAAGTACGAACTGTGGCGTAGCCGGGAATTTCGCGGGAGGGGGCTAACATCCCATATTGCCTATGTAGATAGTAAACAATTTACTTAAAAGTGTCAAAATGTATATATCTATTGGATTTAAATAAAATAAAATGTAAATTTAATAACAATTCCAACCAAAGAATATTAAAAGAAAAAAAAAAAACTACAAGAAACACAGAACATGTTGCAATGAATGAATGTATGATGGTTTAATTAGGCGAAAGAAACAGGGCCAACGGAGTGGGGGGGGCATAACCCCCTTAGCCCCCCTGGCTATGTCCTTGGATGTACGAACGTTGTCGCGTATTACAGTGTTCGTATACCCAACTAAACCATCGCATGATGATAAAATAAAGTATAATGTACACTCATACAGTATAATACACATTATATCAGTTATTAGTTTGACATTATAAAAACATCCGCGTACATAATTGTACGTAATTTTACGGCGTATCGAAATAATAATATTATACCCGCGTATAGGTATTGCAGGTTATCGTTTGTGGTGTTGATTTTTATATTATTATTTTTTTTTTTTTAATTTTTTCTTTCTCGTATCAAAGGTCGTCGTCGGTCGCGATTGGAAACGTAGCGCAATATAATAATATAATATTCTTTGTACACAGGTATAAAACGAAATCGCGCAATAATTTTAATTATAATATGATTATTATAATAACTATGTATAATTATTATATTATGTATATTATAGGTGCCTACGTAATCGATTCGAAATACAGTTTTCACAACGTTACATTATATAGTATTATGTTAGGACGAGACGGCATCGAGAAAAAAAAAAAAAAAAAACAAAAACCTCAATTATCATAAACACTATATAATAATACATCTATCAATAATGAAATTCCTTTTGTCTTCCGAGCGCGGTTGAGAATGCCAATCAGTTTTACTGCGATGCGTTTTTATTTCGTCTGTCCGCAAACGATTTGTCTACCAGAAATCTCGCCCCGATCGTCAATTTTGTGTGGGACATCTGCGCCGAACGGAAACCGTCCCTACAGGTTGATGCGTCGGTATGTCGTTTTCGTTATGGTTTTCACGATAGTCGGGAAAAATCGGGCAGAAAAATGTGGAAAATGTACGCGATTTTTTTTTACTGTCGTTCGTTTTTTATTGTAATCGCGGAGACGTGGAATTTTCGCGGAATTAATTCGTTCTATACGTGGTAGATTTTCAAAACATACCGCCGATTTTTCCAGATATATTTCGTTGTAACTATTTTAGAATTCCATCCGCTCCGCACCCTATCTTCCCGATTGTTCACCTACAACAGTAGCCCGTTATATCGTGCGAAATATGTCCGTATCTTTTTTTTCTTTTCCCCGCCGTCGTTGGTTTCACGGCCCTTGCTAATCGAATAATAATAATAATAACAATACCTGTTGCGGTGATATTAAGGTCGATTTTAGTAATCGCGAAACAACATTAACGGTAATTTCCGTAACAAACATTGTTGAACAACAATTATTATTGTCGTTTGCCGGATTCCGCCGAACCCATCTCCGTAGTTTTCGAAATCGTTATTGTTTTAACGGATTTGTGTTTCGCATCGAAAAATATTATCCGTGAAACTCTATCGCGCGGCTCGGTCATTACCGACGAAATATCAATAACAACAACACCGCCATCACTCTCGCCGACAAAAATGGTTTTCGTTGTTGATGTTTAAAACGCAAAAATACCGTACACACACGATTAATAACAACAATAATAATTATCATTATTATTATTACACGCGGCCGTTCGTACCTGCCGCGTGAATTGTTGTTCGTTCCGAGCAGTACCGAACAATACGATTTACGCGTGCATTACGTGCAATAGCGCGCGTTGTTCTTGTTTGCGCTCGTCGCTGCTGTTTTAAAAATAACGAAAAACCACGCCTATCCGAGCCTCTGTTAGGGCATTTTTACGCAGGGCGTCCGGGAATCGGGCCGCAATGAACCTTTCTACAAAAGGGTTTAGCAACGTTTCGCGTTTACAGCAGGTAGACCCGGTGATCGGGCCACTGTTTTAAACGGGCGACAATCTGTTCGCCGAAAAATTACATTTCGCTTTTCGCCCACGTATCTTTTCACCCAAATATTTTAAAACTACAACTGTCCCTTTTCGCTCGAGAAAATTATAACACCTTTTGACAATATATTTTACAATACACACTTTGGGAAACATTTACTATGTTTGGTATTTGTGTAAATTAATTTTAAAAAGCCATTTATCATTACCCAGAGAATACCAGAGAGTATTTTTTAAAAAAAAAAAAAAAAAAATAAATACAACAAATATAAATCGTCAAAATTTCATTAAATTTATAATTTATGATAATTACATGCCATCGATTTAATAAAATCATACCTGTTTTGTAACATACCTGTTTCTGTTTTATATTGTTGTATTTTTTGCTCGTTTTTTCGTCTATAATTTTTTTATCGTTGGGACAGGTTTGTAAATCAATATTATTTAACACTATTTAATTTAATGTAGACCTCAGTTTGAATTTCAAAAAATTAATAATTACTTGACTAATTTTGTATTGTATTTTATATTTATTGAGAAAAAAAAAATGTATTGTAAAAAAAGTTGTATGTAATTAGTAATTACTAATTACTATCATGTATGAGAAAAATTTAATATTTTTTTGATTAATTTTATATATTTTTAGATTCTGAGTGGACCAAAGAAGTTTATAGTTTTACAGACATGTTTTTTTTTTTTTTATTAGTGCGCATTTTTTCTACCAGAAGACTTTTTCAAATTTTTAAGTTTAGCACCTTTTCAGAAAGGAAATCGGTGTGGGAAGGTACCTTAAAGGAGTCGTTTTTCGATTTTCTGAAGGGTTTTCTCATCAAATTTGAAAAACCGAATAAAAACCGAAAAAAAACGGAAAATATAAGAAATGCAGATGTTAGTTAAAACATATTACAGTCTTCTTTTTTTCTGTGCACAACTTTTTTTACCAGCAATTTCGCTTCAACTTATTATGATAGTAATGTTTCCAAAAGAAAATTCGACTGGGAAAGTACTTTAGGGTGGTTATTTCTCGATTTTTCCAAGAGTTTTCCCAGCAAATGTGAAAAACCCGGATAAACACGGGAAAACCAAGAAAAACGTAGAAAAACTGGGAAAATCGGTACTACATTAAACAAATATAATTTAAGGAATTGTATGAAACCTATATTTAATTATTTTACTATAAAATTATGTATATTTTGCTGACAAAGCATCACTATCTACTGAACTCCGTTCAGAATCATTTTTTCGTAAGCAATGGTTAATCGTTATACAGTTATATATTAAATTACCTAAAACAGTGGCTGCACCCATCTCCATTATCCTAGGACATATTTTGTGCTATACATTTGTAATCTAATCTTCGGGTACCCTTTAAAAATATATTATTATTAATATAATATTATTTGTGGCCCAGTACCCGGGTAATAAAATGTACACAAATATTATTTACGAAGCAGGTAGATAAAATGTGACCAAATTCTCAACCACCCAATTTGCTTACTGGAAAAAGTGCAACGCGGCCCTCGAAAATATTATCCACTTTTATAAATACCGCGTGATTTGTGTGTTAAACTCTTGCAGATATCCGAGCGCAACGATAAGAAAGTTCTAAACCGGGGGCGACATTTGACCAGAAAACGACACGGTGTACCTTTTGAAATTGTCCGTAATAATTGGCCTTGGTATTAATGATACGATACTATGCAGGCCGCGGTATTCAGGCTTAATAATTAAATTTTTCTTTTTATAGACACTTCGAACAACCAAATTAACTGTTTTAAGAATATTTGGCTGTCGGGAAATTGGACGCATTAAATGTTTCCGTCCCCTTACAAGAAATTTAAATGGTACACCTTGGTGACAGAATTTTGCCCGTTGATCAGACAGAAACAGTAAATGCGGTTGTGGCGTCCTCTAAACTCAAATGGGTTAGGCTGGAAAACTGCAGGTATATTATAGCCTTTATCACTACGCGTTCATAATATTTTACGTGAGATGATGTCAGCGCAACATTGACACTAGTGATAAAAATTGTTCCTCGTTTACAGTTAATTATTATTATTTTTTATTAATATTAATATTACTAGATATGTATACATTTTTGTTTATATTTATCCTTATAGTTTTGTATTTATAATATTTATTAATATTGTTTTTGCTGAATGATAGAGCCATATTATGCAAGTAATTGTGGTATAGTAGCGCACTATTTGTTTTCCTCATTTGATCCACAAACGACATGTGACTGGTTAAGTTTGTTAATAGATCAATTCACTCGAATGCGTCTTAAGCTAACAACGCGAGTTTGGTTTTGATGAACACAAATTTGCTATGTTGCGCGTGGGTGAAAGAGAGGTAAACAACCAGTGCGCTGACATCCTCTTCATTTCCAACTCTATATTTAAATCGAAATCGTAGTCAAATTCGCCAGATATAATTATTTAGATGCGTATAATTTTGATTTGATTTCTGACTTCTGAGTGGTACGCGACGAGAACAGTAGTTATCCGTTTCGGTGTTTTACGGATGATTTTATTATTATGATTCTTTTGAGAAGAAAACTCTATCCGAGACAGTTCCCTGCTCCCTTTGTACTAAATGACCTCAAACTCCAGATTTAGAGTTTTTTTTTGTACGAGCGGATTGGAATGATAAAAGTCGGGGCGAAATTAAATATGAACATTTAATCTTGCTGTCGCGGGTAAAAGTTTTTGTTTTACCTTTGTACACCTCCTACAAACGAAGTCAACTGAAGTTAGAGAGATGTAATTTTATCTATGCATGGTGTTACAGTATCAAACATGTGCCTTTTGTGAGTTTCAAGTTTCAACCGTCATTCCTATAATTTCTATGATCAAATTTCACAATAACTTTATTATAGTATTGTATTATTATATTATTCGGTTATTTATTGTTTTGCAAAGACTCTATAGTGACGGTGCTCTGTTGTTCCCTGGTGCTATTTTTCATCAGCCTTTTTTTTCGGATATGAAACGGATAAAAAATAAAATGACAAATAATTATCGTTTTTTAAACCTGATTATAGTTTTCTAAAATTAAAACGAAATAATGTTTAAACATTTTCACAACAAAGAAACATAATTTATAGGTTTGACTAATCTTTTTAACTTGAATTTGTATAATTACTATAGGTATATAAATATGTGTGTTAACGCTTGGTATCTACCTAAATTTATTCCTATTGTACGTGACAGTTCAATATATAATATGATGAAAAAAAATGTCCGAAAAAAATGGTTAGGGAATTTAGTCCCTCAGTTAGTCACCACAGTTCGTTACGGCTATGCTACGCCTACACCTGTTTGAAAAATAACATTTATTTACTATTACGGTACTAATATAACCTCCTTTATATTGTTGTATAGTAATCTGGATACATAGGTTTCGATTTTAACAAGACTATGTTTACGTTCGGGTATTTTTGATACGTTAACACATTATAAATTGTTGATTTTTCTAACTAAAAAGTAAAGAAATTTTAATTTAAAAATAGGCGGCTATGCATGTAAATAATAAATACTGAAAGAAAACATCAAGGGGGAGATATGATTCCCTAATTTCCCTCCCCCTACTCTCTTAAATACGTCACCGGCGCTAGTATCAACGATGCGCGCCTATTGGGGACGGGGAGATCGACTTTCAACCTATGCCATATTTATTTGTCACGCTCGAATATCACCATTTAGGCGCGGGAAAAATTTGAATCTAATGACGGAGCTATGCTGCTCACGGGTATACAATATTTTCTCGATGTTTTTCTTTGAAAGTACTCATATTATAACCGCAGTGCTAATAATATTATACACCGGGAAATTATTAATAATAGTGTCTATATAAAAACAAAAACCGAAAACGCATAACGAACTTCGCAAGGACCGGTAAGCTACAGTCGTCAATACGCGAGAAGTCCGAAAGGTGCACGATTCAATATCAATTCGATATTCAATTCGAATACACACAGAGCGACGGTTAAGCCGTTGGCATCGGAAATCGAGTGGAATAACATTAACCGCGTTTTCTTCCACAGCGCGCAGCGGAGAAACTCGGATGCCAATAGGTAGTAAACATCTTGTGTTGTATTATTAACGATTGCGCGAGCGCGTAAATCCGTACACCGCAATTACTGAAATACTCGAGTTTCGCCGAAAATCGCTTTTGCGAACGCCGCGGCACAACGTGCAATACAATTAGAAATATACGGCGTCGGCCGGCCGACAACACCGGCTCCCGGCGCAATTTTCCGTCTACGGCGCCCCCGTGGGAAACGAAATGTTCCGGGGGGCCTTTGACGTGCCGGTCCGGCACTCGGCGCGCAGTACGTGCAGTCATTACGCGCAGTGCATATGAAGTAATCGGCCGAGACCTCCGCTCGGCGCGCTTAAACATCGCATAGGTCCCCGCGCGCGTTTCCTGCGTTATATCATCCACGCGTCCGCGTACCGTACGGGAACCCCGACGGAAACCATTGTTGGCGGTCCGCGCGGCGTGCTCCGAAATGTTTTTTTAGATTTTATTTCGTTCGGCTCTTCAAACGCGCGTTGCCCGTTTTGCGTACGCGCAATAATATCACGCGTAGGCGTGTCGCGAGAACAACAGTCGTCGGCCGGGCGTAATGATGACAATGCGACGTATGCCTGTGTGCGCGCGTACTTTTTTTCAATGATCGTTTTCCGCCCATTTTTTTTCGCCGACCGTTATATTGTTACACGAACACTGGAGAAATCGGCAGTAGTCCGCCGTCCAACAAAACTCCCCTCTCCGCGCAAAACATAAAAAAATAAAAAAAAAGTAGACGTGCGTTCGGCACGATGTTATGCGCGTAATAATTTTACACCCACATGGTATATTATAATTACGCGACGGATGATATTTAATAAATATTTGAAAATAATAATAAAAACGATTGAAATATAACAGTTTTGAATTTAATTATTTACAGCGAACGTCGAAACTAGGAAAACGTTATTTTTGCTACTATTGTAAATTCAATTTCAAAATTATCTGTACCAAGCGAGGGGCTTTTGTGTTACAATCTATAGAGATCTCTACGTATAACTGCGTTTCAGGCAGTTTCAAGCGTTTGTTGTTCTTTTAGATTCTGAGCGGAGCGAGGAGTATATTGATTTTACAACGATATTTATTTTTTTTTTTTTCTATGGACAAGTTTTCTACTAGCAATATTGCTCCGATTTACTTTAGGAAAGTAATTTTTTGATATCCCCAACAAATGGGAAAAACCGGGAAAAACATGGGACAACCGGTAAAACGTAGGAAAAACGGGAAAATAGGTACAATACTTAAAAATATTATCACAAAAAATGTATAGTGGATATTATATGATTTACAATTAAAGTATTTATTGCTTTACACAAAGCGGTATTCTTATATTTTAGAACTATACTAGTTATGTTTTCGAATTCTGATTAACCACACTTAAAGCCTACTTTACAGCTCTCGCAATACAAAATAGTCCATCGCCTCTCAAACCATCCTTTTAAATGAAATACTTGATTTCCAAGACTCGTAATATTTGTATTTTTTGTCGATGGTGTATCATCGCCATGTAATAATTTATCGTGGGCATCTGCAGTGTAATACATCTCAATCAAAAATACACTTTAACTTAAAGTTAAGTTTTAAATGGCGACTTTAAAAATAGTTATGGAAAAAAAGCTTGGTAGTATACTAGTTTTATCTCGTCTATGACGACACGATCTTATTTGTTATTACAAAATACAAAATATTATTTGTTAACTTGATATAACATTTGTGTGTACAAAAATAGACATTTAACACTTAAAAATTCCTAGTTTTAATATTTTTCCTTTATATACTTAGAGGAAATGAAAAATCCTAGAATTAGGGATGAATCCCTGGAGTCCCGACAATGGAAAACACAAATACACTACGTAAAATATATAAAGTGTGGCGTTTAGGTGGAAATTATTAGAGATTAAATACGAATAACAATATTATTTTCGAGATAATAAATTTCGAGATTATTTCCGAGAGTGGTGCGTCGCTATTTTCTAAAATTTCGAGAAAACATAAAATATTTCAGCCGTATGTATACTTTTGGAATTTTTTTTTTTTTTTTTTAATAGCGGCACTTTTTTTTTTGTGTATGAGAATATTTTCGAAATAAAATGCGACAAACGCCCCGTTGAAAATATTCTCCTCTTAAAATTTACAGTAATTTACAGTAGTTTAAACTGCAATTTCAATCTAAACGCCTACAATGTACGGTTCTACAAGCAACGTAATTTCGTTATGTCACCCGTTGATTGAACTGAGATGGCGAATAACGGTCGTTATTTTTCGGTGTACATCATAAAATAATATTATTAAAACCACTCAGTCGCCGTATTATAAACAATAATAATATTTATGTTCAATAATAGTATGGCTATTTTAATATAATATCATAATTGTTGCGTTTAAAATGACAAACGTCGAATATTATACTTAAACGCCTATTCGAAAGATATATTTACACAACCAACATAGAAATGCAGTGCGTATCGGTTTTGCGTAGGACGTGAGTAATAATAATAGTTTAGGTACGGAGGATGCGTTTATAATATTTACCTAAAGCGGAGTGGACCGTCAATTATTACAAGTCATGTTTTTAAGTATAACATTGTACCTATGGTTTTATCGTAATTTACAGGGTTCGGATTGGGCGGGGGCAAAGTCTGCGGGAGGATGGAGCTCTTCTATTTTTTTTTTTTTCTTTTTACAAATAATTATATTTTCAAAAAACAAGTCTCACCAACTCATACGGATTGTCAATTATTTCAAACTTTAATGTTTATCGTTGTTCAGCTATAAACTATTATTACTATTGTATTTACTTTCGGCATTGCACTTTGTCTTGTATGGTATTAATTAATGTAAGACGTCTGTGAAGTTAGCCCCTACACCACGGCTGATTCGTTCCGAACCAATTATAAGTTGTAGCCCTTTAATTAGAAGTAAATACAAGTTGAAAATTAAAATAATTTTAAAAGAAACCTATCTACAAACATAGACGATAATCTTGCATTTAAGTTTTGAAAATAGGTCAGTTAGCACTAATATCAATACTTATAGCACGCAATTTGTCCTGCTGAACGCAAAATTGTTATGCCATGCGTTTATCAGACGGAGACAGTGTACGTGGGTGGTGTGCATGACGTCTATTTTAGAGCAAAGAAGTTGTTTCGTTTCTCCTGAAAATGGAAAATGGACATATAGACAGCCTTTGTAATATAGTATTGCAATTTTATTGTTGCCCGTACAAATCGAATATTTACTGCGTTTCCGCATATAAAAATAAAATATAAAAAAAAATAAAAATCAAATTGAAACTGTTCACGGGGTTAGGTGTTGTAAGTGGGTAGTTGAAAAGTAGGATACATTCAGAGTAATTTAGTTTATATGTATCACGCAACGATTTTGAGTGGAGTAGTATTAGCCGTGTAACCAGTGTAATTAAAAATTTAAATACCTTCTATAATATTTTTAAACTAATACTCCATCTATTTATGTCATTTTTAATATAGGTTGTTATTTAAAAATTAAATGTAAGTATCTAGTCTATTTTCACCCTCAAAAATAAAGATGACAAAAGTGATGGTAATGTCAATATTCAAAATAGTTTAAAAAAAAAGGTAATTATTATCAAACGATTTATTTTTCTTGATGTAATATAAATGATCCCTCTACCTCGGTTTTTCCAAATGTTCCCCCTTGGTTAAAATCGTCTGAAAGAAACACTGAATCCAATATATCGATATTTTGTCATTTTTAAAATTTTGTAGAAAACTGTAGGGAATTTAGACATTTTTTTGCAAATAAACAAGTACTAACGAACGAAAAGTCTACGAAAATCCTTTAAAGTACGATAATTTGGAAACTTTTCTGATGAACCGAAAAAGCATTTTCGAAGAAAAAATACCAAACTATTGAACTACAGAGGGTAAACTTCGATAAGCATTTCGAATAAAGGACCACCGGATGGAAATGTCGCGTCTTTTAAAGGTATTTTACGAACAAATTTGAGCAATTTTACTATAAAACCAAAACACTGCGTATAGTAATACGCTGATATATGTATAGCTTCTTCGCTATACACTCGAATTCTAAAAAATGATATCATATTATGTAATATCGTCGTAACGATAACATATTTTACAACATTATTCAGTAAAGTATTATAATTATTCACCACGTTATTTATTATAAATTATTATATACGCGATTGTAAATATCAACAAAACTATGTACAATATATTATAATATTATATTATGTTTATAACGCTATCACGTCACAGTATACAAATTATGATGTTTCAGTTAAACCTGTTCTGTGGCTGATAGAACGATAAAAAAAAAAGAAAAAACATAATTCGAGTTTGTTTCTGAGGATTATCTAATTTCTCGGAAACGTATATTTTCCGGGAAGAAAAAATATTATATTTCAATTTTTTCAAAGCTTATTTTTTTTTTTTTTTATCTTTATTGTATCTAATATAATATAATATTGTCCATTTATGCATACACCTATATAAGATTACAATAATGTTATAATATGATTTATTGTATACAATTATCAACGTGATAAATATTAAAGTCTGGAAATGAATAAATTTACTATATTTTTGTCCGTATGATTTTGAATGAAATGTTATATGGATATTTTACTCCACGTCGAGTTTTTCTTTTCTAACTTCTCGAAATACTGCATTTTTTCTGTTAGTGATAAAAACGCACCCAAACGTTTCAAGAGATACTTACATAGGGGGAAAAAATTTGGATTTTCCTAGATTCCTGCAGTTTTTCATGCGCACTTCAATTTTTTTTTTTAATTTTTTGATCGTGTTTCTGGTTTTCCTCGGTTACACGATGGTTTATTGTCATATTTATCTTCGTTAAAAAATATTGTGTAAAAATGGTTGGCGAGTAAAAAAAAATGTTTAGCTTTTTCATTTTGCTAATGAAACTCTCTTCTCTCTCTCGCCCTTTCATGGCCCACTAAAATCCTCACTTGGCGTATTTGACACGCGGTCGCGTACTTGATTTTCTTAACGTATGCTAACTGCATCATGTCTAAAGATATCACACTTAATTTATTTGGTTTATTTTCAAGTTCGAAATGTTCTCAATGATTATTATTATATTATTTAATTATTGTTTTAGAGCATATTGAGGGAGCTAATGGTTTTAAAAAAAATTTTATTATTTTTTTCTCCTTTCTTCTTTGTTCTAGTCTGTAGACATGTTTTCCCTTGTAAACTTGCACTAAAGTGTAACACCTTTTCTGAAAGCTCAAATGGTCTAGATTTTACTTTGAAAAAGTAATCTTTTGATTTTCGACGCCATTTTTTTAAAATAAAAGCACTTAAGTGGGAATAAACGTAGGAAATTCATTATTTTATAATGATACAAAAACACGGACGACGGTTTCTACCAGAAAAAATGATTTAATCGAAAAATCATAACATAAATTTTTTGTTGCCTATTTGATTTAATTTCTTATGGTATTATTGCCAAAACTTTTGAGTCAGTTTCGAGCTTTTAAGGAATTATAATTTTTGGGAATTTTTTGCTGTAATTCGGTTGTAAATACACTTTGTATTTGGTTATCAAACATGGTTATTATAATTATATATGACTTACCTAGATATGGTAAAATTTCCAAAATCATCAGACGACTTTTTTTTTTTTTTAATAAGTGTTTTGAAATCAAATTTAAACGAAAATCATAAAAAAAAATTACGACAATTCAAATTTTGCGTTACCGGATTTTGCTCGGAATCGTCTTTCGTCAAATAATGATTTATCGTTGCTTACAGATATAAATGAAATAACCTTATGTATCCTACTTCCCCAACTTCTTACCTATAACAGTGGCCGCTCCCATTCCCAGTATCAGTTCTCTTTTTTTCTTTTTTTCTTTTTTATCATATAATAACCGGTATAACGTTGTACTATTTTAAACCATGTTGTGGAAATAGTGAAATAAATTATTAATATTATTATTTGTTTAAGATTGTTTAATAGGATTAGATTTTCAATATAAAATGAACGCGTTGAGACTTAATTCGTTTTGGTTGGATGATTTTAATGAACGCGAAGTTCGGGAAAATAGTAGAAAATTAATTATCGAACATTTAACGAGCGCGTATTCGTCAATGAACTTTTTATCGGTTTTATCAGACGAAGAATTCCGGAACATCGTTTAAGTAAACATATTATACGTTCAAAAGAATTTCGCAAAATTAATTTATATTTCCAGTTATCAGTTAACATCTTAGTGGTAACACTAAAGAAAAACAAAAATTATACTTCTATTAAAGAAATTAGTAGAATAAAGGATAACGTCGAAGTCAAGTACGCCACATACGCTTTTTTAGCAAGTATGCTTAGTACGCGCGCACTTTTCTCATAAATTAGCATAACAGGTTCGCATTAAAATCGTTCGCGACGATACTAGATCACAATAATTATAATATTCAAAAACCGCATTTGTCCCTCTCCGTGACCTCTACACTACACGTAGGGCAAATAAGCTGAAATGATTGAAATTTTAACACAAAATTCATCGAGAGTTGTGTTTGATGTTTAAAAAAAAAAAAAAAAAAATTAAGCGTGATATGATGATTTTGTTTTTTTATATTTTTTTTTAAGTTTTTATTTTGACGAAATCATACGAAACTCACTTCACTAGCAGCGTGAATGGGTATTGTATGAACCAACTTCTTTATGTCCTATCAGGCGAGTGGGTCGGTATATGTGTGATTTTTTTATCAATTAAAAAGTGAAATACAGGAATGTCTGGTGGCCTTAGCTATAGCACCCGATTCTTCTGGGTTTGGATTGTTATGAGGTTTTTTGCTGTTTTACTGCAACTGTTTCATAGAAAAAAAAAAAAAACACGCTGCCACTGCAGTCAGAACATAACATTTTACTTATAATCGAGAAAAGTTCACTATTCAAAGGGGTCCCTATAGAAAGTTTTCATTGTATTTTAATATTTCAATTAAATTATATGGATTATAACTTAAGGTACTATACATTTCATAATATTTACAAAACCAAAAATTTCCCTTTTTTTAAGCTGAAACAAGTAGCGTGCTACTTAACAAAAATGTAAAATTAAATGTTATTAATCAATAACATTAATATATTTACTACAAACATGAATTATTATTTAATTTGTGACTATTCATAGTGTACTCGATCATGAAATAAAAAGACGGACATACTTCGCACGATGGGTGGGCCGCTGTTGTAGGTGAGAAGTTAGGAAGGTAGTTGAGGGAAAATTTAATGTATATCTATACGCAATGATTAACCATTGTTTACGAAAAATGATTCTGAGCGGATTTCGGTTATACATGTTGATGATATTTACGATTTTCGTCAAAATTTGGTATTCAAATTCTTATAAAAAATACAAATATTACATAAAACTCAAATTTTTCTTCTCGACCACTAAGTACCTACAACTTATAATGAACCTCCTATTAAATTGTCGAGCATTTCTAATTGGTCATCCATAGAGTACCTACCGAATAAATATTACTCGGAAAATTAAAATGTATTATAGCTTAAAAATCACTCAAATATTTGGAAATTTTACTACGTCTATAAAAAGCAAATATAATGTTTTTGTCAAAATGTCAAGTCTTTACGTATATTTTTCACTGAATTTAAATAAAAAAAAAAAAAAAAATTGGAAATATTAAAATTATTATTTTTGTAAATTTTCCCTATATTTTTCCTACATTTTTTTCTGGTTTTCTCCATTTATCAGAAGAACTCCTGTAAAAGTATCACTCTAGAAAAATTCCCTTTCACAAAAGATACTTCACTTGATACTTCAGAGCAAGACTTCTGGTAAAATTTGTATACGCAGTATGAAAAAATAAAATATAAACACCATTTCAAAACCAATACAGTCCTCGCTTCGCTCAGAATCTAAAATGCAGCAATGATCGTCTTATGGAACCCCATTTGTTTTGGAAATTTAGCGACAGTGGTAGTTCATCTACATTGATAATGGTGATTTATTTTCAACCACTATTCGTATACGAATGTGTTGAGATTAACAGCATTCAACGAACTTATTATATTATCTAATATTACATTATATTTATTTCAGTACTGCGATTTTCATTCATAATTGTTCGTTTTAATATTAATACTATCGCACACTCTTTGTATTTAACTGATAACAATGCATACAATATTGAATACAGTTGCCTCAGTTTAAATAAGTAATAGTACTATTGTTTGTTGGAATGTTGAAAATTTTATTTAATAAGTGTTATTTTCAAATATGCGTGGGTTATTTTCGGCTATATTCGTTTTTTAGCTTTTAGCTTTGCAATAACGGGATGTGTTTTTCTTCCATCTAATAAGAAAACCTTTTCGGGGATTATTATTTAGATGAATTGAATTAAATACGAAAATACGAATACCAAACATAGTTTAAATAAAACACTAATCAAAGTTTTCAGTTTGTACTTCCCTTGAAATAATTTCGAAAAACTGAATAATTAAAGAAAATATTGTATTCACTCTAAAGTCAAGATTTTAATAACTCCGACCTCTTTAGCCGTTAATTGGTTTTTGTTAGTAGGAACACAGGATTTATTTTTTCTAACCGGCTAATTTTTTTTTTCACTATTTTTAATTATATTTTTTCTTTGCATTCGTTGAAGTTTTGACCTGTTTAGTAATAATAATATTACTGGGTCTGTTCATTTATGATAAAAAAAAAGTTTAAAAAATATTCAAATTAAATATAATCAACATGAATACATTTACTATAAACATAAATTATTATTTAATTTTTGACTATCCGCAGTATACTCGATTAAGAAATAAAAAGACGGACATACATCAGACGTGGGGGCGGGGGCACTGTTTTATGTGAAAAGTTGGAAAAGTAGTAGAGGGGAAATTTAATATATATCTGTACTCGATGTTAAACCATTACTAACGAAAACACGATTCTGAGCGGAGTTCGATTAATAGTATTGCTTTATCGACAATATATAATATGTCATATGGTAAAATAATTACATACTATACATTATACTATATTTTCCCATTTATTGGGAAAACTACCGGAAAATCAAAAAATGACCTATTATTAAAAAACACTATAAAAGAACTGATTATTAAATAATTTAATACTAAAAAGCTGTCCTAGTATAATGGGGACGGGTGCAGCCACTGTTGCGGGTGGAAAGTTTGAAAGATAGGATGCAGATGGGAATTTAACATATATCTGTAAGCAACGATAAACTATTGCTAACGAAAAAACGATTCTGAGCGGAGTTAAGTTGATAGCGATGATTTTTCAACAATATATTTGTCATATTATAGTAAAATAATTAAATAGGTATTATATAT